ATTTTACTTCCATTGCACTGTGAGGCATTATCGTCCCTATTTTACTCCCATTGCACTGTGAGGCATTATCGTCCCTATTTTACTCCCATTGCACTGTGAGGCATTATCGTCCCTATTTTACTCCCATTGCACTGTGAGGCATTATCGTCCCTATTTTACTCCCATTGCACTGTGAGGCATTATCGTCCCTATTTTACTCCCATTGCACTGTGAGGCATTATCATCCCTATTTTACTCCCATTGCACTGTGAGGCATTATCGTCCCTATTTTACTCCCATTGCACTGTGAGGCATTATCGTCCCTATTTTACTCCCATTGCACTGTGAGGCATTATCGTCCCTATTTTACTTCCATTGCACTGTGAGGCATTATCGTCCCTATTTTACTCCCATTGCACTGTGAGGCATTATCGTCCCTATTTTACTCCCATTGCACTGTGAGGCATTATCATTATCCCTATTTTACTCCCATTGCACTGTGAGGCATTATCGTCCCTATTTTACTTCCATTGCACTGTGAGGCATTATCGTCCCTATTTTACTTCCATTGCACTGTGAGGCATTATCGTCCCTATTTTACTTCCATTGCACTGTGAGGCATTATCGTCCCTATTTTACTCCCATTGCACTGTGAGGCATTATCGTCCCTATTTTACTCCCATTGCACTGTGAGGCATTATCGTCCCTATTTTACTTCCATTGCACTGTGAGGCATTATCGTCCCTATTTTACTCCCATTGCACTGTGACTGTGAGGCATTATCGTCCCTATTTTACTCCCTTGAGGCATTATCGTCCCTATTTTACTCCCATTTGTGAGGCATTATCTGTGAGGCATTATCGTCCCTATTTTACATTATTCCCATTGCACTGTGAGGGCATTATCGTCCCTATTTTACTTCCATTGCACTGTGAGGCATTATCGTCCCTATTTTACTCCCATTGCACTGTGAGGCATTATCGTCCCTATTTTACTTCCATTGCACTGTGAGGCATTATCGTCCCTATTTTACTTCCATTGCACTGTGAGGCATTATCGTCCCTATTTTACTCCCATTGAACTGTGAGGCATTACATTGCACTGTGAGGCATTATCGTCCCTATTTTACTTCCATTGCACTGTGAGGCATTATCGTCCCTATTTTACTCCCATTGCACTGTGAGGCATTATCGTCCCTATTTTACTCCCATTGCACTGTGAGGCATTATCGTCCCTATTTTACTCCCATTGCACTGTGAGGGCATTATCGTCAAGAAACACATCAATGCTTTATACAGACAGTACAACATGCTCACAGCTATTACAAAATGATGTTGATGACCACATATTATGGTTATTGAAATGTTGTTTTTTGCATTTTGTTTTCTTGCCAAATATATTTATCCGACGACCACGAAAACTTCATAATGAAATGTTTATTATTTATCTTTAGAAGTTCAAACTTAATCGAAGCAAAAGACATCGACCAAACACATCAGTGCCCTTTTCAGAGAGTATTACATGCCCACGGCACGTGAAAAACAATAATAAAGAAACATGTGCTGGTTGGCCAGCCGAAACTCTCCCTGCCATCAGGGTATGTAAATGATACGGTCGGCATGTGACAAAGTCACTCTGATACAAGATCACAAGTTAAGTGTCACCACAGACACCTGAACAATGCGTGCGTGACTGGGTATGATGCAGATGGGAGGCACCCATGCCAGCGTTTTTCGAAGGTAAGTTCGTACCCGTGTTGCGGTAACTAACCCGACGCAACATTACACATAGACCCCGCAGACACCATACTGTCCAAGATTAAACAGACTTGGCTTTCTGTTGATGTGTTTGTGTCTCAACGTTAAGTTGGTTGGTTGGTTGGTTTGTTGTTTTACGCTGCACTCAGCAATATTCAGGATATGTGGCGGCGGTCTGTAAATAATCGAGTCTGGACCAGACAATCCAGTGATCAACCACATGGGCACCGATCTACACAATTGGGATACGTTGACATGTGTCAACCAAGTCAGCGAGCCTGACCACCCGATCCGTTAGTTGCCTCTTACGACAAGCATGGGTTACTGAAGACCAATTCTAACCCGGATCTTCTACTTTAAGATACACGTTACCAATAAATCATAAGATTCAAGACGGTTTACGGTCAGGTTAAACATCTACTCTATATTACTTCAATTATATCTGTGATTACCATAACCCTTATGGGACAATATGAACATTGCATATTCACTTGCAATAAGAATTTAGGTCATTATAAATTCCACATATTTCCTCCTGTGATGTTAGCCGACCGAAGCAACTGCAAACCAAATGGGGGTACCATCCGAGTTAGTTGCACTGTAGGAGACTGTAATAGTCAATGGCAACTGACGTACTGTTACCGGTTTATCTTTCAGTATAAAGGTATGTGGAAGTCCAACGTACCTTTGAAGGTATGATTATCACTATTAACACCGTCGACCTGTCTAGTAATACATGCTAAGTACCTGAAGCTTAAGATATACGTTTCTATAAATTCACTTCTTTTGAGTTATTCCTTTTGAGCAGAAAATCTGATTTATACGCGTAAGGAAACAGATCGGTAAACATGGACACTGAAGAATCCCCAAGTTCTCTCACTATACAATTAGAATACAAAAACACATTCAGAGTAGGCTTAAAAGCAATCTCCAGCACATAGAAATGACACCTTATCCTGGCGGGGATATACATCGAGGCGAGGGAAGTGACAGGGTGATATTTTTCCTCCTTATCATTTCAGGGTCTCTAACTGACGGCCTGATAGAAATGTCTGTACGTTTAACTGTATGCTAATATGTGTTTTCCAAAAAAGAAATATCATCAAAACTGTTCTGTCATAACCCTAGACGAAACGAAGACGGCACATCCAAATGCTTGAAATATCGACCTCTTGTATTGCAAGTGGTGGGTAATGGAGTTGCAGGTACCTGGTGGTTTGTATGAACTGTATGTAATAAAATAAATATAAGAGACGATTAAATTCCATGCACCCCTACCAAGGGGGGAGTGTCATATTTCTATTATTCTACATACAGGGCAAACAATATTTGACGTAAAGCAGAAAGGCAAACACATCATTCAGCTGCTTATCATCTTAGTCAAGCTTTTGAGGTAGACATTGTTCTGAACAATGCAATACTCATTGTTACAAATATGAGTCATTTAGCATTTGGTCTCCAACTGTCTACTAAAATAAAAATTAGATTTAATTCCGTCAGTTGACAATATGAATGACATACAATATGCCTTTTCAAGTAGTAATTATAACTGTGGTCTAACTGCTGTGTTTTCCTGCTGTTGGAACATTTAGGAGATACATTTAGGAGATACGTAATAACTGTTGTCGCATGTTTGCTATCCGAGCGTTTTTATTTCGCATTGATCAATTTTTGCTTTTCAGTTAGATATTGCTGAACCCTCGAATATATGCTGTTCAAATAAGATATATTTCTTTTCAGATGTGTAAACTATGAGCACGATATTGAAAGGACACACGAAACATGCTGGCGAAGATTTCATTTGCTTAATGAAGTATACATTCCTTTTTTTCTCTCTCCACTTTTTGGTTACATTTCCATCCATTTTATAACAACAATACATACACGTATACATTCTTATAAAAGCTATAACAAACAGGTTTGAACTGGATTCTGTAAAACAGAAGTACAAAACGGAAGTGAGTCATCAATATTATGAACATAAACGTTTAATTAATTCAGTACCGATTACTAGATTCAGTCACCAATGTTAGATATTTAATGTATTTACACAGTAAGAGACTAAAAGTGAAATATATATCATGTTGTCCCAAGTAACATTTATTCTGTCTCGTTTAAGCCCACAGGTTGGTATGGTATGGATGGGACATTTAGGAGAGATTTCCAGATCTCTTGGTTAACTCCATTTTCCAGACGTTTCAAACGTGAACATTTACAATAGGTTTTATGGGTGTTATTGAATGATTGATACCTAACAACTACTCAACATCACCAGAAAACACATAATTTCCTGTATGACAAAGATGTGCATTTTCTATTAACATCTGGAAAGCTTCCTATAACTCTATAAATACAAATTTTAATGTTCAATGTTCTATAGCGTTTTCACCATACATATTCTTGTGGTACATACTAGCATTTCTGCACAATTACAGTTTCGGAACACAGGTGGTTTTCTACACAATTGGCGGCTTCGGTGTTATTTCAAGCCTTATAGTTGTTTCATTTATCGTACTTGGTAATTTGTACAAGAAAAACAATCTGTTAAGTACATATTTTTTCCTTGCAGTGACACTATGTGTATTTGAGATATTATCATTGTAAACAAGTTACACAATCGTTGAAGGTTGCTATAATGGTTGTCATTGACTGGTCGTGAACTTCGAAGAAACAGTTTGTCATTGTAGTGATCTCAGTTAATTATTGCATCAGCAATAGACGTAGCAGTAGACCGCTGCAACAGCAACGTAGCAGCAGCAACAGTATTAATACTACTACTACTAGTAGTAGTAGTAGTAGTTGTTGTAGTAGTAGCAGTAGCTGTTTCTTCTTCAACAGCTCCTGAACGTCCTGGAACTGCTTTAAATAATCTTCCATAGATTCTGGTTTCACTGCATGAAACTGAATCTCATAGACTGTTTCTTTACTTGAAAGTTGACTGGAGTGTGACTCGGAGCTAGTGGGGAGTGTTCTGACACGAAGTAGTAGTAGTAGTAGTAGTAGTAGTAGTAGTAGTAGTAGTAGTAGTAGTAGTAGCAGTAGTAGTAGTAGTAGTAGTAGTAGTAGTAGTAGTAGTAGTAGTAGTGGAAGAAGAATTAAATTTGCGATTTATTGGTTCAGAATAGCAAAACGTAACCCCATTTAGCTTAAAACAGAATGATACTATATATAGACATCCGCACCAGTACCTTTATAAAATATCGCGAGTAATAGCCAGATACATCTGCAACGGTTCCATTTCAGAGAATAGAAAACATGTCTTACCCAAAGACTGTGTGTGTTTCTTTTAGTTTTCCTCTTCATCCCACTAATTATGCGGACCTTCATGTCTTCTGGGGATGTGCAGCCTTCCAGAGACACATTTAGGTTTTCTGCTGTCTCTATAAGTTCGATCACATCCTCTATGTCATTCACATGGTCACTAGTAACACTTCGCATCCTTACAAGGGCTGGCTTCATTGTCACAGGATTACGTGAGTAATTCCTCAACTCACACGGACTGCTGTCTCATTCAGTTGTCGTCTGCCCTGCACTGTCGTCTGTTCCAGAAGTCTGTGTTCAGGACACAAGCGGTACCTATTCAGTTGATTCTGCTCACTGTTTCTGACTAATTTCTTGTATTTTAACGCTGTATATATTATCGCCCGTTACGTACGGGGTCGTCTGCTTTGAACGTCCACACTGGCTGTGAGCGCTCACGGATGTGTGCTGTCGTATCTATTACAAGTTGCGTTTGTTCTCAATTCACTTGGAAACTATTCACAGCTACCTCTACGTCGGTTGTGAAATGTCTCAACGTACACCTCAGGTATGCATTGGTCACAGAGAACAGCAATACAGCTTGCGTTGTGTCTTGTGTCATTTCTGTCTGGAATCATAAAGAAAACACATGTGGGATTATGTAAGCTTGGACGGGAAAACCAAGGGGGCGTTCTCAGGTGTGATACATGACAGTAAATGGAGCGTCTCTAATCAGGCCGGAGTATGGGTTATTGGGAGATTGGGCTTTCAAAGTTTACACCTGTAGAGATAATGACCTGTGGGTCATATTGTGCAAGCCACTTGTACATGACGTTAATATCTCAAAAATTACTATTTCTATCGTGTTTATAAAAATCACATCACTGTTCCCCAACTAAAACATGACTTCATAGTGTTACCACACCCACATAACCTTTCAAATCCTATACTAACTAGTACTAATCCTATTATCCTAACTACTATCAAACACCCGTGACTGAGGTGTATCTGAGCTGAAACTCATGTCAATACTGGTCCACTACCGTGACAACCTTTCAAAATATTCTGTTCCTAATATAGATTTCAAATACAATCAAGTTATGTTGAGCATTGTCACAGCTATTAATCCATAATCAGTCAAATGCAACAACCACATACACAATATATGTGTATTTATTTAAAATGCCCTGATCCAAATGTAAATTAGCAATGGAGCCAACAAAATCAGGTTAGATAAAACATTAAGGAGATATTCAATACATATGCGACAACCACACACAATATAAACTTATTCTTCCCAGGTTAAAAACTGTTGAACCAATAACACACAGTGGACCTATAGTATGTATAGGTTGTAATCGTTCTCGTACTGGAAGCAGTCTTACCTGCGTGAAGTCCTGTAGTGCTGCATGAACAGGCTGTCATGATATATATAGTGGTGTTGGTATTTCACTGGTAATACAATACACCATCATGACAATGCAGCAACAAGCTCTCTGTGGGACGAGTCCAAATTTAGGAACGTTACGACTGGTGTGATTAGCTGAGACGGAGTGAAAACCCGGAAGTAAATAGCTCTGTGAAAGAACGCGTTGTTGCATCGGTTTAATTGCTTTTCTGAGAAACCTATCCTGATGAAAAGTAAATGGTGATAATTTGGTATCGCTGATTAGTTTCGGGAAACCTGGTCGAATAAACACGCGAATGTGTTGACCTGTTTGTCGCGGCCATGCATATCCGAATGTAATATGATGGTATTCACATCCATCTTGGAAAATATTTATGACGATGGGACGATGTTATGGATCGGTGGGGGCGACGGTGGGGGTAGGGGAGGGCGACGGGGAATGATATGGAAATTAAGGTCACTGTCGCTTCAATATCGAATTCAATGGAGCAGTGTGCGAAATAGTTTCCAAATTTTGCTAGCCAGTCGGGCTAGGTATGCCTGGATGTTATTAGCACACAAAATAATTCACTAGCGAGAAATGTGAATGTAGGAACTCAGCGAAAGATTACAAAAAGGTAAAATACCATCATTTATAAGGCCATAATCTTGCATGATTTAAAAGTGTATTATAACTTAACAAGTGGAAGACAGTGATATATTTATGACCCCATGAAAATTCACTAGCCAGTCGGGCCAGTGACTGTGAGAATTTACTGGCCCGACTGGATTTTACTAGCCACGGGCTTGCGGGGCAGGGGCTATTTTGCACACTGCAATGTAGCAACGTGTGTGCGTGCGTGTGGGTGTATGTGTGCGTGCGAGCGTGCGTATGCCAGTTTATTGCCCTATCTCACTATCAGCAATATTTTAACATGGATATCTCACTCACACACGCAATACTGACCCCGAGTCAACGAGTCCGTGTTTTATCCCCTCATGCAGAACGTCAGTCAGGGTAAGAACAAGTACCACAGCGTCTTGTGGTCGGACGGGGCCAGAGGATCGAACCACCGACATTAGGCTAGCAGTGCAGCCTGTCCTAATGTACGCGATATAGAGATATCTATAACCATAAGAGATCTTATATCGACAGCACAATATATCACGTTTATGTATTATTATCGATGTATTGAAACGGAAGAAGTTTGTCAATTAAACATTAAATTACTTTTTGAAATAACAATTCTGATAGTATCTTTCGATGTTATTATACAACTTAGGTATGTCAAGAAACTAACAAAACTTTTACTTGGACCCAGCCTATAAGTATGAGAAAATTGCTGAAGTTCACTCATGGATGTAACAACACCATCAAATACTCGTAACAGAAGCTTAGTGAGGAACTGTAGAGTATAACTTGAAGATTGGATATTCGCGATGCAGGGGAGCATCCTGTAACGTATCCGTGTTACTTGAAACACAGACACCCATCAGATGACATCAAAGAGGTCTTGAGAGAGGGAGTGGTAGAGTTGGTAACTGAGAGCGACAACTTGTTAGTGAGTGAGTGAGTATTGTTGATTGGACTATATCATGAGCATGTGTTTATGAATCAAAATAGTGATAACAGGTGCTCGCGAAAGACTGAACATATAGTGCCTCATCGGTGGCCCTCGTCATAAACACACGCAAGGGCAAGGCAACTTTTTCACCGAAACGGATACGTATGGTACAAGTCAAAACACGGAATTGCACCGAATAAATTGAAATTTACTCCACAACTCTGCTGTACTTTTTCAAAGAAGCTCTACTGAGGCCTTGAATGCTGTAGCCTTTATACAAAACGATATATGGGAGGAGAGTGCAAAATGTGCACGTACTGCCCCGTCAGAGGTTTGATTTTTGCGTGACGCTCATGTTCCAGCTACATAATTGTAAATAATCGAGACTAGACCGAGCAATCCAGTGACTGACGTTGTAAACAACTATCACACCGTCGGGGTATCATGCCATCCACTCAAGAGTCACTGAGCCTGTCCACTCGATCGGTTTAGTCGTCCAAACGGCTTAAAACCATACTCAGTCTGGATCCCGTGCCAAGGAATCGGTCCAACGTAAACCTGTAGGACAAGTATAGGATTCTGATCTGATCTGGAATTCCCCTTGTGCAAAGTCGTTTTGTTGATTTGTTTGTTGTTTAACGCTGCAAATTTCCAGCTGCATGACGGCGGCGTGTAAATAATCGAGTCTAGACGAGACAGTCCAACAAAGGAAGATCTGTGCAAAGTTGTCCCTCCATCAGCCTGTGCGTGTACGTGCATCACAGTGTTTCAACTGAACCTTTCCTTCAGAAATAATAACAACGGTTACCTCTCTTCTGACAATATGCACACATGCACCGACCACGCCCATACCATAACCCCTGATGCAACAAATGTCATTTGCTCTTCCATTTTATCCCCCTTACATGATGACATTGACCATGACCTTGACCATGACGTCAAGGGCAGGCCTCTCCAGAAGCGGAGTCCGCCCTCAGATACCACCGACAACGATTACGCCTTCTAGGGTTACGTTCAAGTCGGGGTCAGGTTTCTGGGCTGTTATTCTAGGGGATCATCGAGACTATACTTCCTGATGAAAATATTGTCAGTCACGCCTGCGAATTTTTCTTTTTCTTTGAATGAATTCAAAAGGAGAAAGAATGGAGGTGACCTGTTCCTGCTGTATACGTCCTGACGGTCCCTACAACATGTGTATGGGCAACGGGTCCGTGACTTACAACGGGGGAGATGTGTAACATGACTCGGGGGAGAAAGACGCTTTTTTGTTCAAAGAATTTTGAAATCATTGAATACTCTATGTAAGATATTCGCGACGACAGTAAAACCGCGTTCTTCAATGTGAATGTTGATGTCTGGTTTTAAGTGTTTGTTGATTCTTTGATAAAATCAACATCTCAGCACCTCCACAAATTCAGTTATTTGAGCATATCCCCAGAAACTGTCGGTCACGTTTCACGTACTAGGAATGCGCCAAGCACAATGGTGTATACATGCCATAACTGCAGTACCATCACAATGAAGCTGCGAGCTGCCGGTCTGAGGGCACGTTATCCGATAAGTACTGTATGAAATAAGGCCCGTCCGACCGCCCAAGACGGTCTAGATTTCTGACGTACGGTCTAAATTTACAGCTAGCCAGCCCGATGGTCTGGTAGAATTTTTAGATGTTCCATACATATTAGTGTAAATTCACCATATTTGGTCTAGTTAAATCCATTTTGGGCTGGAAACATTTTGAAGTTACCAGCCCTGATATCTGGCTAGACTTTTGGCTTATTTCATACACTGAAATAAGACGTCCTTTCCTCAGACACAGGCAGGTGTCTGGCGTGGTACAGGCTCAGATAAAACCATGCAAAATGTGTAACTTAAACGTAATTGAAAATGAATATCACTTCTTACTTATCTGTCCAGCCTACATTGAATTAAGACGTAAATATCTTTTGTCGCAATTCTATGTTTTCCCCAGTATACTAAAATTCAATTCGTTGTTATCATCCAAAAATGAAGACATTTCCTTGAATACTGCTAAATATCTGTTTTATGCATTCGAAAAAAGGAAATCAATTTTGTCATATTAAGATTGTATATATTATACATGCTTTCATTGTTAACATTTTATTTCAAGTCTGCACCGATGAGGTGTTTTTGTACTCATAGGCCCGTGGCCTCATAGTATCAGAAATAAAGATTTGAAAACCGCATCTTCAGGACATGGTGTTGCGCTCATTGGTCTGATGAAAGTCGCTTTCTATTACACTGCCGTGTATGAAGATTTGTTTGTTTGTTTGTTGTTTAACGGCGCACTCAGCAATATACCAGCTATATATCGCGGCGGTCTGTAAATAATCGAGTCTGGACCAGACAATCCAGTGACCATGAGCATCAAGACCATGAGCATCGATCTACACAATTGGGAACCGATGACATGTGTCAACCAAGTCAGCGAGCCTGACCACCCGATCCCGTTAGTCGACTCTTGTGACAAGCATGGGTTACTGAAGATCAATTCTAACCGGGATTTTCACGGGTCTAGGAAGACGTCGTAACGATGCATGTGATGGTGGTGCCCCAGTGGCGGTGTAGGGTTATTTTCGTTATTTTCGCTTTCTTTAAACATCAGAGGCGCTGACAGTGCTTTCTTAGGAGTACACTTTTTGCATTACGTCACACTATATTGACGTCACTGTGGTACATTACGGTACCTGGGACACTCAGTGGTCAACGTTATCAACAGGAAGTTGGATCCCGCCGTCGTACCACAACATAATAACTATCCCCTTGCAGAGTAGTCCGATATTCATGGATGACAGCGTTAGACCTCCCCGTTCTTGAGCCGTCATAGCCGAATTGCAAAAGAACGCCATCGAAATATTACCATGGCCCCGATATGAACTCAATCGAACGTCTTTGGGGCCATTTTGGACTTTCCGGAATATGGAAATCTGGAATGTGTTGAACGCAGCAACTAAAAAGTCACAAAAGTCAATGGCGTCTTCCATCAACCACAATATAATCAAATAGCAAGTAGCGGCTTTTGTTTTTGACCAATGACGTAAGGCAGTACCCCATCACACCCAACATTCGTACACTATTCCTAGAAATAAGGTACAGTTCCCTAAAATAGAACTACCCGACTTATGTTAACAAACCAGAGTTATTCATTCAAAACAAAACTCGTGTTAACCAGTGCATCTACATTGCCCATTTCTAAATGCACAATATAATGTTATTTACAACATGCGTGATTGAAATACCAAATATACTTATATCTAATAATACCCCATCTTTTCAAATTTCACAGTTGACAAGGTGATTGTTGGGCAATAAGGGGCGGTGGGGTAGCCTAGTGGTTAGAGCGTTGGCTCGTCACGCCGACGACCCGGGTTCGAATCCCCACATGGGTACAATGTGTGAAGCCCATTTCTGGTGTCCCCCGCCGTGATGTTGCTGGAATATTGCTAAAAGCGGCGTAAAAAACCAAACTCAGTCAGTCAGTCAGTTGGGCAATGAACTCACAAAGAACACCCATAGCTTTAGAAACTGTGTCAAAGCCTGTGTGAATTGTAT